TTCATTTCAGCTACATTCAACTCCAACTTGTCAATTGTCCAATCTTTCAGCTCAATGGTATCAGATGTAGCATCATCCACCTATGTAAAAAAGTTACAACACGACTTCTTTTCCTAAACAAAATTCAAATATACAGTTCATAAGATTGAAATACCAAAAATAACGCATGAAAAAAATCAAACTCACCTTGAAGTTGGGGCACCCAAAAAATGATCTATTAGGGTTTCTAGGTGTCTTGGAGGTGTAAACAACACTGTGCCTCCCACATTTACACAATGGAGCAGCTCTCCTTCTTCCACTTCTGGACCCAAACGAACTACTTGAGCTCCCCCTTCCAGAAGACATAATCATGGCATAAACACAAATATCAACCCTAAATCGAACAGTATACACCCACCTTCCCTATACCGTCAATCAATTTTCCCCAAATTTATGTGTTCAACCTTCGATTCGATGCCATACTTTCTGGTTTCAGTTGAACCCTACAAACAAACGACGATGTTTCTTGGATGAAAGAGAACTGTGTGTCCAAGGTGGCTGAGCTTCAACAAACGACGTCGTCCAAGATGTCCACGTGGGCTTCAGCATGTCACTTAACGTGACACATCAGCATCGTCACTCACACCGTCAATTTTGGTTTGCCAGAAGGACTAACGTGGGTCCTGTTTCACATTGTTGGGGACTATTTTACGAGTTTATTTTTCTTAGGGATTAATTTGGCCACCACATTTTTTGTCAGGGACCAATTTGGGTCTTTACTCTTATTTTCTTGTCTTGCAACATAAGACATACATTACCCTTAAAATATACTCAAGATTTATTTGATTTGAATGATTTTTTTTTATTTGAAGGGTTTAATGTTTAGGGTCATTCACATGTTTGTGTGTAAGATAAAAAATTATATTTTGCAAGTTCATCAATTACTCAATCATTATCTCCAGCCAATTTATCACCAACTAGTTCAGTTTGAACACTATCAAACTCATTTTATAGAGCAATTATTTCAAGAGCATTTCTCAATTCTCAATACTTAAACTTGAGTCCTCGGAACAAACTTCTTTTTAAATCAACGATGATTGCTCTTTTATCAACCTCTCGACCCAATGTAAAAGACTTGACTTTAAATGAACCGTAAAGATAAATTAATTCACTTGTTTACTGAAAAAAAAATTAATTCACTTGCCCACAAAATGATCCAAGCACACCGCAATAACATGACAAATACAATGAATTTGGATCCACTAGGATTAGCCTAGTGGTGGGTATGGGTGTTCGCGGTCTGGATTGGATTGATTTTGTAAGCAAAATTCATCTGATCCAATCCCTTCGGTTTGATCATCTAATCATCCATTCGGTTTGGATTTTTTTTTCAAATCCGATCTGATTCAATCCAATTCTTTTCGGTTTGAATTGGATCGGTTTTCGGTTTTTTTAAAATCTTAAAATTTATTTCATGATTATTGTGCAAATAACATCTTTTGTATATATTAGCTTTGTAATTATTATTTTTTAAATACAAAAGCATCAGTAGACGATAATATAATTGTTTTTTTTGGCCAATGAGATATGAAGCTCTACATAGATAAAATTTTGTTAATGAGATGTGACTAGATTTTTTCTTGAGTTTAGTTGATGGGTTAATGAGTCTTGAGTTTAGAAATTTTTGGACTATGATTGGGGAAAGACCCAAGTAGGTAGAGAAAAATTAATATATTGGATGGGTTTGGATTGGATTGATTTTCATCTACCAATCCGAAAACCGATTCAATCCAATTAAATTTTGCAGTTTTTTTCGATTTTTGATTTTGCAGTTTTCAGTTTATTCGGTTATCGGTTTTTCGGTTCGGTCCGATTACCGCGGTTTGAATCGGTTTGGATCGGTTGATGAACACCCCTAGTGGTGGGGGGTGTGTGAGTTAGGTGTATGTAGTGTAAGGATGTGTGTTCAATTCCCATGTAATGCAAAAAAAAAAAAAAAAATTTGAATTTGGGCCGTTTGCAGTATGAAAACAAACTGCATGCAGTTCAACGCAACGGCTTTTATTCAACAAATTCGGGGTCCCAAACAAAATATTGTTGGAGCAAATAAATTTGATTCAAATTTCAATGTTTTTTGGTACATAAAATTCAATAATTTTTAGACTTTTGTTAATATACAATAAAAAGTAGATTTTGTTAACAAGTTTTTTAAGGAGTCAAAAATAAAATAGACTAAATTAAAAAAATAAGTATTTGATATATTAAAAAATATTTTTTTATTTAAATTTCATTTTTCTGACTCTTTAAGGGCTCTCTTAAGTAAAGATACTTGTTAGCAGAATCTGTAAAAAATAAATAAACATTGTAAATGTAATTTTTTTTTTTTTTGTCATGAAATATTGTATCGACATGTTATTTAATAAACTTGATTACGTTAATAATTATTTAAATATTAAATTTAATAAATAATGCGATTATACATTATTGAATGTAAACATTAAATATTTTTATATTGATAAAACATTAAAATTAAACTAAAAAATAAGTATTAGTAATAAATATGTATATGATGTACAAAAAAAGACACAAATTCTATTCTATGATGGACTGACCTGGCCTATTTAGAAAAGAAAAGAAATCTATAAAGAGAATGAGATAAGGTGCCATTCTATTTATTTTTAATAATTGCTCTTTCCATACACACGCGCACACACAAAAATAACTGTGTATTGCAGAAATGTGATTTTTTTTTCGAGTTTATACTATCATCCCACGCTTCCATGAGCACTAAAGAATCATTCTCCTTAAATATATAGATTAATTTACTTTCTATAGAAAAAATCTTTTAATTGAAAATGTAACATATCAAGCGTTGACGAGGGCAAAAAGTGATTGCCGATGTAAAAAAGATGAGGCACGGATAAAGAGCAGCTCATTGCTGTTGGGTATGGCTCATGTTTCGCATGCTGATGATGACACTTGTTGTCGAGGTCAGCAGAATGGTAACTGGAGTCCCGCTCCCAGGTGAGCGGGCGTGGGTCTGAGGGAGCAGCCACGGTGGGGGTCCGGGAGGCAGTGCCCCCAGGCCCGTAGAGGCTATGTAGTGTTGTGAGCCTTTGATTTATTGTGATTTTTTTTTAGTAGTTTGGGCTTGAGCCCATGAATAACTGCTATTAGGATTTTTCTAATCAAGTGACTTGTAACAAGTGGCGGTGAGGTGAATATAGCACAGACAAGCTGGACGTAGCCTAAATTGGGTGAACCAAGGTAAATCACTGTGTCTATTCTCTCTCTCTCTCTCTTTCTTCCTCTTTTCGTTTGTGATTTGTGTGATTGTCGATTTCCAACAATGGCAGGCTTCCAGAAATGATACATGAATGAATGGAACCAACATCCAAACGTGAGGAATCCAGAGGCTGCAGCTATGAGCCTGTACAGTTAAGGATAGCTTAAAGAAATTGGTATGTACTACTTATACTAAAAAGATGCATCTACTTTTCGATAGCCCATAACTTAAGAACTTTATAGTTAAGCGTTCTTGACTTGCAGCAATTATGGGATGGTTGACCTCTTGAGAAGTTTCTTAGTAAGTGTGTGAGTGAGGACAAAATACGTTGAAAAGTCTAGTGATAGTTTGTCGGGACAGTCATTGATCCTGCAAGTGGCCACTCGTTACAACTGGTATTAGAGCATGGTCTCTCTCCCAATACTATGTGGTTCGAGAACAAACCAAATGGAAGCTAGTGGACATGTAACATTTTGGTGCTGACGAGGAGATCACCAATGCAAAAGTGATGAAGCACAAACAAGGAGCGGCTATTGGCAAACTTCTAGCGGAAGCTGTACACAAATGAATCGAATCAACATCCGAGCAAGAGAGATCCAGAGGCTGTGCATGTATGAGACTGCACAGCTAATGATAACTTAAAGGAATTGATATGTACTACTTTTACTTACAATATGCATATATTTTTCGGTAACCCATAACCTAAGAACTTTATAATTAAACGTGCATGACTTAGAGCAATTATATGATAAGTGGACTCCTGAGAAGTTTCTCAGTGTGTGAGTGGTGACAAGGCACTGAAAAATCTAATATTAGTTTGTGGGGACAATCATTGATCCTGCCGGTGGTTGGATGTTAAGAAAATTTCGTGAGGTAACTTCAAAAAATATTATTTGCAACATGCTATTTTTTTTGTTGATAAATTGATATGATCTAAACACATAACCTAATACAATCTACTTAAATCATAATATGCTAATTAATCCTATATTACAGAAAAATAATAAACAATTATATCTTGCAAGTACTATAATCATTCAATGTTATTTAGTGCCTGTTTGGATCCTCTTATTTTTAAGCTAGAAGCTACTTATAAGCATAAGCTAGGCCAAACAGATTTTAGGAAAAGCTCTTATAACGAAAAGCTCTTTTTTTTATAATGAAGAAAAAAGCTGAAAATTAAAAGCTCCTAGGAGGAGCTTTTTTTTAAGCTCTTATCTGTTTTTCTTGAATTGTGTGCTTTTTTTTAAATGAAGAGTGATAAAGATAGAGAGAAAGATAATTTTCTTGAAATATGTGCTTTTAAGTAATTTTTAAGCTAAAACTTTTATGTAATTTCCAAACAGCTTTTAGCTTATTTTTTTAAGCTCTTTTTTTTAGCTTTAGCTTATAAGTAGCTTCTAGCTTAAAAATAAGAAGATCCAAACAGGCTCTTAACTTGTTAAATAATAATTAATGATAATTATTCCGTGCAATGCAAGAAAAACCACATACATCCCGAAAAAAGGAAGAATTTTCCCTTTCATTTTTCCCCCGACTTCATCACGTCACGCCCTCCCATCTCACGTCCGAATTTCCCAAATTTTCTTCTTTTGTTCTTCATCGGAATTCGTTTTCTTTCATTTTCTGATCGATAAAAAAACATAGCGATGATGATGATGAGTGATTTGAATATATAGCGGTTAATTTCATGTATGTTGAATGAATCAATCGGTTCGTTTAGGGAATAGGGAGGATGTCGAATTTGTACGGTGATTACAACCAGAAGATTGATTACGTATTCAAGGTGGTGTTGATCGGAGACTCTGCAGTTGGCAAAACTCAATTGCTCGCGCGCTTTTCTAGAAACGAATTCAACGTCGATTCCAAGGCAACAATTGGTGTTGAATTTCAGACTAAAACTCTCATCATTGATAACAAAACCATCAAGGCTCAGATATGGGATACCGCTGGCCAAGAAAGGTATACTTTTTTCCAACCAAATAATTTAGCCACAATTTTTTTTTTTTATATTTTTGCATATGATGCCTGATGAATGGGACGTTATTAGAATATGCATTTTGAGATGCAAATAACATAATGATTCATATTTTTGTTAATACACAGTTTATTATCGGGGGAATTTTATATGAATCTAGTTAAATAGAGAGTGGGCCATGTTATTTAATGGAACTCACATTAAATTCACCTAACAAGAAAAAGTGTATTGAAAATAATGTATTGCTAGCATTCCTCAATGCATTTTTATCTTGTTTGCTAGAAATGTCATTTTCAGTCAGCCATCTATAGTTACATCTGTATGAAGTACATATTATTGGAATTCACGGTAATTTTGAAATTAGCATAATAGTATTTTCAACCACCTTTTTCCCTGTGCTATTTCTTATCCGAAGGTCTTGTTACTCGGGGAAGTTCTCTGGCAGCAACTAATGAAGCTGCATCTAGATTATTGATCCAACAACAGATTATCCCATTATAAAATGCATTTTGTGGTTTATATATTACTTAGTTTACTAGTTACAATACTATGATTTAGATCAAGCTAGTTTTGAATCTTTTCTGCCATTCACCAGTATAAAACACATATGGTAAATACTGAAATCACTTGGGTTTGCTTAATGTAATATTTGAGTGATTATCATTGTCTCGATCTCATGTTTTAATCTATTCTGAATAGTCCAACTAGCAAGCCCAACATAACAAGCCCAATCCTTTAAAGATGGTCCATGTCAGCCCTGTTAGCCATTTCTTGCCACCCATGCTGTTGTTGTCCCCATGGAGCAGATTCCCCAACGTGAGACACTAATATGTCTTACGTTAGGACGTTGCCTTCCTTTGGTAGCCTCTCGAACACCCCTAAATAGGCATTCCCCCTTCCCGGCTACTGCCTTAGCCCCCGTTACTAGCATAGCACGGGCTGCAAGGCACTTGGAAGGACACCTTTGGCCCTTCCCCAGGGGAGTTGACTTGGCTCACTCTCCAAGGCAAGCAAGACTTCATCTCCTCCTATAAATACTCCCATCTTCACCTTACAGAGGCATCTTTAACATATATACTTTTACTTTGCTGCACCCAAGAGCCATTGTAGCTCAGCACACACAACACCCACTCTACTCTTACTGTTCATATCCCACTTGAGACTTCATCGTTTAGCTTGGTCTGTACCTGTGCTAGCGTCGATACTCCTAAAGTGATTAATACACCTTGTTGGGGTTACATGCAAGGCTTGCAGCTCACTAACAATACATAACTATTAAAGGTCTTCACAATGTGGGGATTTAACTAGAAAGGGAGGTTCAACTGGTATCATGTCAATAGATTTATGAATAAAATAATTGTTCCAAGGTGAGTTCCCATGATATATCTACACTATGTGAGGAAAATATCTTTGGTATTTTCGTAATAGTTAAGACTCTTTACATCTTTTATTATATTTGGAAAAAAGTAATTTGATTGACTTTTTCTATTTTATCCACCCTTTTATGGTTATTCTTATCTAAGTCCCAATTTTTTTTTTCTATTTTTAATAAATGAGTACATAATCCTATAATATTAAAGATATTCTCCTATGCGAGATCAAGACATTTAGCAAGCTTAGAGGCCATCCATGTCGACACTTGGCTCAGAGCGACTACCCACTAGAACCCCCTAACCCAGGTTGTGCGATTACACTCCACGATCTCCTGGTCTCCACGGTTGGGATGGTCTTCTGGAACATCAACACGAAAGTAATCACAAGTCATCAAGTGGAACATTAGCTCGATACTTAGAGGTCGACCTACTGGTCAGCAGGTTGGCCAAATTGCAAAAAATAGAAAAATGCAGAAATAGAGGGATGGACAGAAGGTACATATAACAAGTTTTAACGTGAAAAACTTCCCTTTATGCATAGGAGAAAAAACCAGGGGATATAGTCTAGAAATTCTTCCATCGTGAAAATAATCTGATTGCAAATAATCAAACTTTCCTAGTAACACAAAAGGTTTACTCTTAGACTTTATCAATAATAGTGGTTGCAATATTCTTCTCTAAAAATGTCAATTTCTCAAACTTCTCCTAGTAGGATTTTTCTCGCAAGCTCTTAAACATTCTACAAAGGTTTTACACCCACAATCACCACATGCTCGGGGTCATTCTACTAAGGTCTTAATCCCAAGTATTTACACACACCCCTAATTTTTTTCCATCGGACCAGAGGATTGAGGTACTATTCTTTCCCTGCCGGTCATCTCCCTCCCTTTGCTCTGTAGATAGAAACACTAACTCCTTTAGTAGACACGGTTCAGCACCCTAAGGCCTAAACAATATCCATATTAGGTTGTTTTTAATACATTAACAATGTAGCTTGGAACATATCATTGAAAAGAAAAAAATAAGAAAGATATCACTAGCTTGACCCCGCATTGTTAACCGTGCCTTCAAGGTTTTGTTGAGAGTTTTTTTTTTCTTTTTCTTTCTGGATGCCGTGTGATACAAGTAACCGGAGTTATCTGGGCTTCTTTTGGTTTGGCTTGGATATACAACCTGTACTCGGCCTTTGCTTTATTTGCATCTTAGTTGGATTCTACCTGAATGGTTCCTTTTTAAATTTTATTTAATCTTGTTAGCATTAGACTTGTAGAATTTGAAGCTTCTGTTTGATGCAAAGTTGTTTCCTCTTATCTGTTTCAGGTACAGGGCAGTTACTAGTGCATACTATCGAGGTGCTGTTGGAGCAATGTTAGTTTATGACATGACCAAGCGTCAATCGTTTGATCACATGGCTAGGTGGTTAGAAGAATTGAGAGGGCATGCCGACCAAAATATTGTTATCATGCTAATTGGCAACAAGTGTGATTTGGCAACTCTTAGAGCTGTGCCAACAGAGGATGCAGAGGAGTTTGCACAAAGAGAGAACCTATTCTTTATGGAGACATCAGCACTTGAGTCCACTAATGTTGAAACTTGCTTTCTGACTATTCTAACTGAGATATACCGAATTAATGGTAAGAAAACACTCACTGCTAATGATGGTTCAAATTCCACTGCTGGGCTTCTCAAGGGAAGCAGGATAATTGTTCCTAGCCAGGAGATGGGTGCAAAGAAGGGTGGTTGTTGTTTTTCCTCCTAGCTTTTGTATGTTTTTTGTTTCTGCTTGGGAAACAAACATATTGCTCATTCAGGTTTAGCCTATTTATGGGCATTTATAGAGAGATTAATTACTTTTCTCGGTGATTATCTATCTCATCAGGCACTAGCCATAATTAGGCTATTTGTATTTAAATTTGTCAATACAAATTCCCACTTCTTCAACACGATGGTGATGAATGAAGCTACAACTTGTTGGGGGTGTATTTATTTATTGTTCGGAAGTAGTTAAATTTTTAATAGTAATATCCTCTTTTCTTTTTGGAGGTTTCGAGGTAAAATCTAGTGAATTGATTCACGAAAATAGGAAAAATGGTTTGTTAAGCTGAAATGACATTTTTTCCTTCATATTGAACAAATTCAAGCCCAATCACTCTTTTAATGAAAGTTAAGAACAAAAAAGGAAATTGATAAAAATATAACATAAATATGCCGATGAAATAGAAAAAAATAAATTGATTTTTGACATGTTGCAATATTATCGTTCAATTCACTTATACCCGATGGCATAATATTTCGTTTGGTATTGTTTTAGTTATTTATATACGGGTGTTTACTGTTCTATATCCACTTAAGCGAGGTCTATTGGATACATATAACAAAAAAAGTAATATAGATGAAACACATTTAATATATCGTTTAGGGTTTTATAAGAGTTATGTTGTAGAAAAAGTGATTGTGTAATGTTACAGAGATTTGTTTTGCGTGTCGTAATTTTTTTTTTTCTCTTCAAAAAGTGTGGACCCACAAGATGTTATGTGTGTAGGAAAGTTTGTTATATTATGTTAAATAACAAATTCAACCCCCTCTCATTTAATGCAAAACTTTAACGGTTTTATTTTTGTGGTTACTATGGTCAATAATGACTTAATAGTAATTAAAAGAAGCAATAAATTTTAAAAAATAAATAAAAAAGAAAATAATAAAAAACTTAAGAATTACGATTGACTAATGCTAACAACGAGTCAAAGTGAAATCCCGCCCAAGCAAAATTTGAAATTTAAACGGGAAGTTTTATTTTTATTTTTTTGACATATTTTTTTGGTTGTTGCCATTTTGACAGAGAGAGAGAGAGAGAGAGAGAGAGGAATAACTTCACGTGTGAAAAAACGAACCCCATTTCGTTTGGAGCCTTCAGTTTTTTTATAAAAGCGCCTTAATTTTCAATTTGAAAATTTGCCATTACGGTCTTCTTCCAAAGCGCTTCTTCTTCTTCTTCTTATGCAGTGTCTGAAGAGAAACCCTAACACGCTCAAGGTAACAAACAACACTTCGAAATAACAAGATCATCCTCTTCGCTTCTTCTTTTTTCAACTTAACCGTAATACTCTTCACTCATTTCAGCCATGCCCGAAGCACGAGACCGCCGCTCCTCGCCGCTCGACGTGGCTGCAATCTACTCTCGCCGCCCAGCTTCTTTACTCGGAGCGTTAGATTTCGACCCGCTTATTCTCGGATCCACTCCAAGCCCAGCAACTCCTGGAGCAACCGGTTCGGTTGTTTTCGGAGCTCCAAGAAACAGCATCGGGCGTGGGCGTTCACGTGGGCGAGGCCGTTATAGTTACACTGCCGCCGGTGAGAATACTCCTCCACTGGGAACTCTTCGACGTGGAAGAGGTCGGGGTTCGTCGCGCAGTATTCTACCTTCTTGGTACCCCCGAACCCCTCTGCGTGATATCACTGCTGTTGTGAGGGTAAATCGCATTTTCTTATCACTTTTTTTTTTTTTTTTCATTTTCTTCTTCTTTATCCGTTTGTGTTTGTACATGAGAAATTGCTGTTATCTTTGAGATTTTAATCGTATCGCCTTCGACTTTTTTTTATCATGGTGAAGTTAATTGGTACAAGATTAATCTGTCTTGGTTTGTTGATTATGTGTGTAACCTGAGTGAGTTCGCAGTTTCTTGATCTTTGTTTTGGGTAGTTTTGATGCTGGGTTTGGTAACGTGGATATGCTTGGATTGTTTTGGAATAGCTGAGGATTTCAACGAAGATGGTGAATTCTGTTTTATTCAAGATTCTTTCATTTTTTTAGGCAAGATGGTGAATTCAACTTGTTTCAGAAGGTGAAATTAATTGGGACGAGTTTAATATCTGTAGTTTTGTCAGTGTGCAGGTTCTAGAATCTGCGGAGGGTAACCTGCTATATAGTGATTTTGGTAATGTGAGTTTTCTTGCAATGATTGTGTAAAGGTTTGGAATGGTTTGGAATTTCAATTAAGATGGTGGATTCTGGTTCAGTTGTCAGTTCTGTTCAAATTTAACATATTTTTTGGAAGAGGCTATTTTATGGTAAAAATAAAATAAAATAATTTCGGATCAGATTATTTTGGATTGTAAGTCCTGGAATCTTTTTTGTTTTGGTCCTTCTGCTTGAATCTGGTTATGTCTAGTGAAGCTCAGTTATATGATGTATGCAATTAGGTTCATTGAGAACGAGTTCGTATATTGTGACTTCTGGGGCACCCTTTTGAAATGGTTTGTGACTTTGTTTTTGTTGCTCTGTAAAATATGGAAGCTTTTCTCAGTAATGGTAATTTGCAAGGGTCTCTGTTTTTAGGCAATTGAAAGAAGAAGAGCTCTTTTGGGAGAAAACGAAGGCCAGCAAACTGGGACTCCGTTGCGTGCGGATCAACAGCTTCCTGCTCCTTCTGTGTCTGATGCTCAACCTCAGCACGGTGAATCTGTTAGCTCTCTCAAGTCTGTAGGGGTTGTGATTAAAACACCTGCTGGTAGTAAAGTGCCAAAGATATTGGTACAAATTTCCAATCAGGAAGAAGGAGAATCAGAACTCCTCACTCCTCAGAAGAAACTTTTGAACAACATTGACAAAGTTGAGAAGGTTGTCCGTGAAGAGCTGCAGAGGCTGAAGAGAACCCCAAGCGCCAAGAAAGCTGAAAGAGAAAAAAGAGTGCGTACTTTGATGTCCATGAGGTGAATTTTTGAAGCCTAGAAAAGCTCTGCAATTTATGACAAAGATATATTGGGATTTTAGACACAGCTTGGACAGGAAACCTATCGTGCGAAATCATCTTCTGATGATATTTTCAACGGAGTCCATTCCGCAGATTATTATTCATTTCCCCAGTTTGCTTCATTCACATCTTCAACTTGAAGATCTAGTAATTGTTCTTTATAATAGTTGCTCTAATATCTTTGCAGATCGTCTTCGAGCAGCACCAGTAAACATTTCCTCTTCTTGTTCTTTCCATCATTCTTTGATGGTTTTGGGTAGGCATTGTACGCCTTGGCTCTATTTGGAGCCCGTGTACATAATTCCTGTGGTTCATTTTGCGTTGGAGTACTTGATGACTTTACTTTTGTACAATTACTTACAATATATGAGAAGAATATTGTGTCGGATTTGTACACAAGCTCATTTTCATTGCATATCTGAGGTTTTTGCAATACACAATGTTTTTTTCTTTGATATAAAAGGGTTCATTTGGACTAGAAGCCTGCGCATACTTTGTTCCACCGTCACCAAATCCTGAACCGCCACCCACAACATCAAACCTAAACGACGTCTGAGTTATATTGGCAAAAAAAACTAAAATAATGCTTTTAAATAAAATAATTATGCATTTATTATAGTTTTGAGAATAATTACATATTTATTGCATAATGTGATGCCTGTTTTGGGGTGTCACACTTGTGCCCTATATATATATATCCCATTTTTACCATTTCATTTATCACTTTTATCTCTCTTTAACCACGGATTGTTGTACTTCCGACCGAACGAGAAAATTTTCGTAGCGAAGCTCTGCCAATTTAAGTAAGTTTGTAATATCTGCTAAGTATACGTTTAAATTACAGTGCTACCTTGCGAACATGTTAGAATTTATTGTATATTAGAGACTTAGAACATTAGGAATTTTGTACCATGCTATGAATGTTGTAATGATTTAGTAATTTTTTATTACGTAGTTATTATTATTAATATTTAATTATGCATTGGGGTTTAGCGTATTAATTAGTGATTTAGAAAATAGTGATAGTGACTTCGTAAATTTTCTATGAAGTTATTAATGCGGGAGTGTATTGATAATTTTGTAGTCAGTTAGGTGTTATTATTAGTACATATTTATGAAATTATTAGTGACTTAGGGTTAAGTATTATGTCAGTATGATTTAATTTGTGTCTGACGTTTTATTATTATTTAATTACAAATAAATTACTGTACTACATATTAATATTATTTCATTAATTTCGATTGTAGTAAAAACGTAGGGTTTATGCTTAATATTTTTGATAATAAATTAGGGCATTGCTTAATTAATTTGTACATAAAATGTGTTGTTGCATGTGATTAATTTCAATGTTGTTTTATATTATATAGTTTAGGATCATGGCTGATTCATCATCATCTTCGGGTTCTGCATCGGATCCAGAGCCTACTGATCCTAGCATGTACATCATACTTGGGCCTTATAGATGAGACATCGTTCGTAAGAGGACGCAGAGTGCCCATATTTCATAGCGAGTGTGGAATACGGAGCATGTGAGGAGACTGAACTCAAGGCGTGGGAAACCACAGAGGGGGTCACCTACCGACGCTATTCCAGAGGTGGTCACAGACTACCTCACACAGGTAGGATTTATACATGTTGCCCGGATGCGACATATCCAGGTATGCAATTCACGACGTTTTGTATTTATGTGATTATTCAATACCATTCGTTAACATGTGATAATTGTATAATTTATTTCAGATTGATGCCCCATTAATTAGTGCTATGGTCGAGAAGTGGAGACCAGAGACACATACTTTCCACATGACCCAAAGTGAGATGACTATCACCTTGCAGGATGTGGCCCGCATATTGGGATTGCCTACTGACGGTATTGTCGTTACCGGATCTACATCCGAGGATTGGCCCGCTGTTTGTGCTGCTGTTTTTGGCGCGGTTCCACTGGCCAGTGAGTTCCATCATTCAGGTGACCTCCGTATCTCATTCTTGGATCGGTTATATACCCGGTGGATAAGTCTGGGGTGTTGGTTGCTGGCAGACAAGTCTGGAGGTAGCAATATCGGTTGTCGGCTAGTCCCGTTGCTTGGGGTAGGATTTGATGAGATTGGCTGTTTCTGTTGGGGATCTGCGGTTCTGGCACATTTGTTCAGGAATTTGTGCGAGTGTACAGATGCCGGTCGATCTGACATGGGTGGTTGCCATATTCTTTTTCAGATTTGGGCATGGATACGATTCCCACCCATTGCTCCACCCCTTCCTCTTCATCAAGAGCCTGGCACGCATTATGGATGCCGGTATACTTTATTAAATTCATTCGATTTCGCTAATGGGTTATCATATTTACTAACTGTATACTTGCTTGTTTATGATTGATGATGTATGTTTCTGATGACAGGTTTAATACGGTGGCAAAGTTTAAGCCTCATGAGGTTGTCCATTATCGGGAAACCTTGGATACAATATGTAGAGATGAGGTAAGGTTGTGGATACTTAGTATGTTGTTATTTCATCATGCATGTATATTTTTTGTAACACCATATATTCTTTATCATTTTGTGTGTAGGTGGTGTGGCAACCGTAGAACGAATTGAGACAGATGGTTCTTTCCTTATCATCCCTTCATTGAAGAGGTCACAGACTCGATAACATAGAACGAATTTAATTACAGAGCAGTATGTAAACGTTGACATCTCATCGAAAATAAATACGTACCTAGAACGAGATCCGCAATAACGTCCGCATCAAGCTGTCTATGTCCCTGGGAAATGTGGTCATTCAAACAATTGTTATCTCCTCCCCATCTCGTAATCTTCCAATTTTCACCAAACACTGGTTTGATCGCCCTAACGCGCCACGAGCAACCTTTATCATACGCACAACATTTCATGGATAACTTTGCAGGCGTGCTCTCAATTATAATTGCTTCTTGATGCTCCCTAATCAGGTTGTGCTTAAGTGCTATTTGGACATTTTTTTTTGTTGAAAAAATTTGGTTCGCAAATAACTTGTCACCCAGTTGCCACAGACCTTGTATTGAACCCGATCCTGAAACTGTACCATCAGTGCATGATTCTTGTTCGCTCCGATAACTCCAATCAATGTACGAATAATGCGGAATTCCTCCCAAAGAGGAATAACAGCTTCGTCACCTGCATCTGATAATTAAAACTTTTTAATACAAACTTCCTAAATTAGGTATTAAATCAGGTATCTATTTAGGTATATAAAAATTATATCAATTACCTTCAAGATGATTACCTAATGGGGAAGACGCAACGTCATGCAACTGCGGAAATTGCGCGACCACTGGTTCATGGTATACTGGGATTTGAGACGCACCCATCTCACCACCTTCATCTCCTTCTGAAGCACTGGCATCCTCTGCCGGAAGACGTTCTTCCATTGCGATATTTTCATCATCATCGTCGTCGTCTTCGTCGTGCATTTCCCAAGTTGGATCATTTTCATCTCCCTCAGAAATGTTACCAACTGGAGACGCATAAGCGGCAGACGAAGATGGAAGACAGGGAGAATTGAAATCAACTGACCTCACCGGTAATGGAACATTCTCCGCTGCGGCGATTTCGACATACAACTCCAGAAAATCTGTCCTTGACTGGTTGAAAATTCTTCCATTGTCATCTCCACGTCTTCATCGTCCACCACTTGCAAACTAATGTATTTATCACATTGCCATAACCTTGTCGTGATCTGAGTGATACATTGGTTTCCTTGAAGACTTAACTTCTGCCGAATTCTCTGATGCAGTTCGCCAATGGTTGCGTTGCATTGGATTCGTGTCGGCCTTTTTTCACCTTCAAACTTGACACATCGTCGTCCTTCTACCTTCCTACCATTGTAATATAAAACAATACGAACAAAATTAGGATGTGAACTCATTCTTAAATAGAATAAGAAATAAAATTCAAATACTAAATTAAAGATAAAGGATTATGTATGTATGATGTTAGGAATATTGGTAGAGAAGAGATATGAAGAGTGAGAGAGGAGGTGTGAAAAGTGAATAGAGTGGAATGAGAATATATAGGGCTCAAGTGTAACGCCCCTTTTGGGCGTCACATGTGACATCCCATTAGGGCGTCTCCCCTCAGGGTGAGACGCCTCAATGGGGTTTCACATTGTGCAGTAGATCCGTAATTATTCTTAAAACTGTAATAAATGCATAATTATTTTATTAAAAAATATTAAATTAATTTTTTTGCCGAGTTATATGCTGCAAGGTTTTGAAAACTATTTTTTTAATCGTCTGAAGAAATTGATTCCCGATTTTATAGTTCAACAGTGTTCAAATTGAAACACAAATTGAACCTTTTTTTTTTGGTAAATATTTTGGGATGTTTTAAATAGTTTAGTTTAGGTTGATTCCAAACATGTATGAGATTACTATTTGTCGTTTCAAATGACCTATAATTGTGTCATTTTGGTAAAAATATTGTGTTTTAAGGGGAGAAAAACATAAATTATGGTCGAAGATAGTGAGAAATTCTTTCTTAATTTAAATATTAAATAAAATATAATTTAAAAAGAAGTGACTGTCCTTATTCGTAAGAACAAATATTTTTCCTATCATGTATATATAGCTTTGGGCCTTTGGGGTGGTCCACATTGCAACCCTGCGGTTTCCTTTTTTTTTCTTTTTTAAAATAGTAACACCCGTATTTTTTTAAATGAGTGCAGCTAAAGTCCATAACGCTCTTAGAGATCCGTCCTCTAAATCCCAATTCCTCTTCTATGAACTCATTTAATATCTGAATCCCCTTATTTTCAAGGGCAAATATTGTAACAATCAATTAGTGTTACTATTAATATTACTATCAATCAATTTAATTATTGGATTGATTATGTTGATCCAATAATTATATTTATTTATTTTCATCTTTGTATGATTATGATTCATCATATTTAATATTTTATATTTATTTTCACGTATGGTTATAATTTTCCATATTCAATGCTTTCACTTTAAATATTGGGAATCAAAATCATACAAAGATGAAAATAAATATAACCGTTGGATCAACATAATCGATTTAATGGTGAAATTGATTGATAGTAACATTAGTAGTAACACGAATTGGTTGTTAGAATATCCTATCCTTATTTTCACTCCAAATTCTTTTTTATCACTTGAACTCTGGTTCTCCATTCAAAGTTAGTATTCTATTTCTTTTTAATTAAGTTAATTAATATTTTAGTAATTAAGAATTAGGTATTAACGATTAGTGATATGTGAATAAGAATTTGTAATTAGCAAATAAAGATGCGATTAGGAAATAGTGATTGATTAATTTTTTATTATTATTTTCTTGTTGATTTTTAAGTTGTAAAATGAAATTTAATTATTATTTATTTAGGTTAATTTTACTAGTGTTAATTTTTGGAGATTAAAAAAATTAGCTCATAATATTTTGTGACACGTAAATTTTAGTCATTAGTTATTCACAATAATTAGATATGAATTTGTAATTGTATTAATTTGTGAATCATAGTTATTGTCTTTAAACCTTTATATAATATTTAGGTTGTTATTATGTTGTGTAATGTTTTATTAGTGTTTGTTAAGTTATAAAATAAAACGGAAGATCAATTTTTTAATATTTTTAATTTCTGTAATAAAACTCTTTCAAACGTTTTATATGTAATCCATATTGTATTGTGACAAATTTTATTTGTAATATAATATTTTTTTTATTTTCAACTCGTCATAAAAAAAATAATCCTAAATCTACCACAACTTGCTACAAAAAAGAGGGGATATTTTCTTTGTTAGAAGAAGATTATTACATGGGAAATATACTCTCATGTCATATGAGATATTCTCATTTTTCTACACAAATTTATTTTTCGTGCTAAATAATTTTTTTTTTCTTTTTTAATATAAAATATGAGACCCACATTTAACTTCTCTCTATTTTTTTTCTCTTATACAATCCTACAACATAAGAAAAATTAAACCTAAAGTACGCTTGAAGGCATTAAAGGGGGGGGGGGGGAAAGTACACCTGAAGAACTAGACATTTTTCGTTGTCGGCATCTAAGCAAACAGTGCTTGCTCCGTTAAGCTCAAGTGTGCACCGGGCCTCACGTGTAACCCACTAATATGGTAATACGAGAATATACACTCAACATTTTCAAAAGGTAAGGTTGAACTGGTAAGGGAGCAGGTGAGTAGGCGACATGGTTCAGTCTGGTAAAGTGGTCTTTATTGCATGGTTACAGAGTTTATTAATTTAACTTAAAAGAGCTTAAATTATTGGATGAGATTATATTATATCTTTTCATACAAGAGTTTATCAAGCTTGAAAGGAAAATAATATACAGACTCATTTATATGTGTTAAGAAACTCCCAAGACTTGAAACTCCCAAGACTTACTTATGTATTAATTATATGGAGAGTGGTGAATAGGAGTGTTAACGGGCCGAGTCGAGCCGAATTTTGGTCTTAAAATGCTAAGTCTGTGTTTAAATGTATCGATCTTACCAAGCCTGTTACCTGTTACGAATATAATCATCAGCATGTGGCCTGCCTTATTTGCAAAAAATAAAAGCCTGATTTAATCTGTTAGAAAAAAATAAGACAACAAAAATTAATATCCAAACAAAATATACACTCAACAACACTAGTAATTTCATAAATATTCATAAATGTAATATATATCCAAACAACATAATATAGAAACAAATCATTCAAAAAGTCAATTTAACTAATAAAATAGGGGTGAAATGGATTGAGAGGAGAAGAAGACTATTACAAATAGTATAAAAAATATAAATAAAAATAAAAATTAATATACTAGGCCAGCCTAAGAGACTCCAAGACCTAGCTTTTGAATTGGAGCCTGAGACCTTTTTATTAAACGAGCTTTTATGCAAGTCCAAGCCTGGTTCCAACAATCAATATTAGGCATGTAAGCGCAGGCCTTCACGAGCCGAGCCAAAGACCCCTGGCTTGTTTATCACCCCTAGTGGTGAAGATCGAATCCTAATACCGAGACTCTAATATGATGATATCACATAAATAATTAATTTAATCCAAAAAAACAAAAACTTAAGTTGTTGATGAGATTATATTAATAATTTTATACTTTTCTAACCGTAGTTATGATATAAATCTCAATCTTTAACTGATAAGTTATCGGTTAACAATTACAATGATTATTTTTTATTTTTCATCATCATGACAGAAAATAATTTTATGGTCTCGGACCATTAAATGGTTTTGTGTTCCCTCCCAATAGTACTAAGGGACCACATGGTCCAAGACCATGGAAATAAATCTCCATCATGACCTTTAATCTAATAACAGATGAGTGGGGTTTCACGTGATATAATCATATTTTCCATTTTGGGAATTTTTTCCCCCGAAGATGACATTTTTTTATCGTTGCCGCATCACAAGTGAGGGATTTTTATTTTTTTTTATCATTTACACATCCCATTTTTTTTTCCTACAAATGGTATGCCATTCAGGCCGAAACAAAAGGTAAAATCAAGAATGGAAAAAAAAAAAAACAAAAAAAAAGTACAGAACTCCAAACGAGACTATGAGTGCTAATAAA